ATATTCACAAAAATTAAAAAAAAAAACTTCAGTAAAACTTTCGATTTTTTTAAAAGATTTAGAGCATGCAACTTTATAATAATATGCAAGTTTGACGTAGTTAGGATTTACCGCTGATTTTTGAATATTTTCGCTGCCAGTTTGTGCATTTTCTTGCTCACAAAGTATGTTCAATGATTTTTTCATATGTATTTATGGACGAAAATGAGCAACACTTCCAAATGCCAAAATACAACTAAGTCCTAGCTACTTCAAACTTGCATTAAAACCACAAAATTCTACGAAAGTTGGTTTAATTTTCTTTATAAGTATATTGCACAAAGTTTAAAACTTGGATTTATACGGTTTTTGTTAAAGAATACACTATATTGTGAAAAAGTAGTTAAAATTAAATAACAAAAAATTACTGTTAAATTAATAATATATTTTTTACGGCAAATTTCAATCACTTTATATATGGCAATGATGTGATAGGGAAACAAGCACAAATTTTTCGTGGTACGGAAGGAATACAATTTTGCATATCACTGACACTAGGCACTTTTCTACGTAAACATCAGAACACTCAATTTCAACTGCATTTTGTGGCAATGCTTTTGTGTTTTCTTGTTCTTTATTTTTCGCGATATGCTTTGACAACAACCGGAGAAATATTGCTTGCTCACTCCCGTTACTTTTTTATTACTGATTTTAACTTACTTTTCAGATATAAATTATAATGATATTGCACAACACTAAATTATTACAAAAAATGTAGACTTTCTAAACTTTTATGACGCTGTATTGTAGTCAAATTAAGCAAGAAATGTACTTAAAATAACAACAATGTATGTCGCTTGCCTTTCGCTGGAATTTGACTATTTTTGGAAATTCATGACCACTCATCAATTGTTCATACTTTTCCACTCATACATAACGCTCGCATCTTTTTTCGGCCAAACAACTGTATATTACTGCGAAAAAATTCCGTTTCGCAGTATCTCTCCATTCAACAAAGGAATAATTTTTTACAATGAAGTATTTTTTGAAATAAAGGAACTCCTGGTACCATGATTCAATAATACAAGGTTAGATAATTATTGACACCTGCGGTTTTACACTCCCTTACAAAAGGTTGCATTTACGAAGGACGGAGAAAGGGGAAGAATGGAATCTCTTGGTGCGAAAATGGTAGAAGAAAAGTACGCAAAATAGGCAATTAGTAGTGAAATTCCTTTTGTAAATTCTAATGTATTTGCAGGGAATCTGGCATTTTAAACGAAATGTTGAACGTAATACTGATATATCTACGTGAATTGCGTAATTTATGTGCTATTTAGCTGTATAAAAACTGCAAAATGACTCAAAATGAAAATAAGACTACTATGAGATTGATGTAAACATCCAATTTAAAAACAGTTTATGTTTTCATCAGTTAAATATGCTTCATATGCATATACAAATAAACATATTGCACAAAAACTTATACTTCTTTTTCACACCAAAGCTACACTGTTTCCATGTAAATTTGCAAATAAGCAACACGGTGCCACTGCTAAGGGAGCGGTGCGAGAGAGACAACTGTCAGTTTATCGAACCTTGTATTATTGAATAATGTCCTGGTACTATGTGTACTTGTTGTATATACTCTAACAAAAGCCATGTAAATCCAAATTTCTAACTTTGTACAAAAATTAGAAAAATTCAACAAAGTTGCACAACGACGATTTTCTAGTTTGAAGTGCCTACAAAATACCGTTGATTTATGAAATATTTTCTAGCTGACAGCATCACGCATTTTCATCCATAAAAAAAAGGAAATACTAACACCGACGGCAAAAAAAAATATCAAAAATTTACGCAAACTGATATAGGGGCATACGCGGTGCATATGTGTACGTGTTGACTCGCGTTCGACTACACACAGTTGAATCATTCACACCCTGCGGGAAATTTATCTAACTATAAGCTAACTTCAAGTTGATTAGAGCTAAAAGTCACTTATTATCTGTATATTTTCTTCGACGAAAGCTAACTATATTTGTATGACGATGGCCGTGAAATAGTCAAGGGTGGTTTACCTCTGCATTAGATGTAGTCAAGGGTGGTTACCTCTGCATTTGATGTTACTAACTTGCAACTAACTACTTTTGGACATAAAATATCAAAAGGAAAAACAAAATATTTTTTAATTTTTATTTTTATTTACTTTTTTATTTTATTACATTTCATATTTGTTACCATATTCTGCTGTAGGTGGTTCCATATTCGAACTTCGTCAGACATAACTTCAAAATGATAATAAGAAATTTCGATCTTCCTTTTATTTGTCCTCAATTCGAAAAAGTATTTGCGAAGTGCAAGATATTTAAATAGAAACGCGTTTAAAGAAAACAATCTCGAGCTTTACTCTAGCATTACTTGTCCACTTGTTTCAAGTTAGCTTTTTGTAGCTAACTACAGGTTATATATTTTATAGAAATCCCGCGAAAAAGCTAACTACAAGTAGGTTATTTTTTATCGATTGATAATTTTTTTCTGCAGGGCAGTCATGCCGGGAGTCATGTTGGTGTAACTAACACATATTTATTTTCACAGACACATCCAAACCGACTCACGGGTCAGACGAACGGTGTATGCTCCCTATTAGGGACGTGCGACATATAGTTTGGCGTTTTCTTCGGATTTACAAATACATTGGGTTCTTAAAGGAAATTTTGACGCCAAAACAACGCAAAAGTTTGTCAACTCCAGTTTCTTACCTACGTTGATAACCACTTGATTAAAATAAACAAACAAATAAATAAATAAATACACAAAATTAGCTCAGGAAAATCGAATAATGTTCGCGACAATAAAACGCTAAAATTTTATTTTCGCTCCATAAAAGAAGGGTGAAACTTTTTGGTGTATGCGATTATAATAGCCTTTAGTTTATAAGTATTATCATATGTTAAGTTGATGTTAATTTATAATTTTAACTACCGTTATCACAAACAATAGTTAATATTCAATAGTAAATAATTATATGTGCAAAATGAACTACATATTTAGCTTCCGCCTGCTCCAGAACAGAAAACTACACCAAAGAGTGTGTGGTAAAAACCTAAACGTATAGAAGCAGTTTTTATAATAAAAATCGTTTTATTTTTTCCCTAGTTATACTAAGGCCCATGATGTCCCGCGGCATTGAACTATCTGAAGAAGAGCCAGGGAATATAAGAGGAATGAATTTTTTTTGGCATGAAGGGTAGTTAAATAACTGCTGAAGATATCGGACAGCACGATATAATAAAAAGTTCCTTTAAAAGTCCCGACAACTATGGAAATAAAAAGCTTGGTGGCCCTATACATACCCCAAAACAGTGGTGCAAATGACATATCTAAAGGAACAGCATGATTTACCGTAAATTTGAAATGCATTTGAATCACTCTGGCACAAGTAAAAGTTCATAAAAAATAATAAACACAGTTTTGATACTTAGGGAGAAGAAATAAATCGCTAAACCACAGTCCACTAAATGGGACGAAATACGTTTTTAGCATTTTACAAAAATTACAAATTTTGTAGAAAGAATTGAAAAACGCTATTTTCAGTGATAAAAAAACTTCAATATACACAGAATTTCCTTTAATTTGGCAAAAGGTTGGGAACTCTGATGTTTGGGGTTTTTGTTGTAGAATTAACAATATTTTTATACAAAATTCTCGAAAAATAAAACTATAACAACACATAACTACTAGTGGGCACAGAGCTGACTTTGCAAACACGAAAATAATAGAAAAGGAAAAAAGAGAAAAGACAAGGTATACATTGGAGAGCCTAAGAATAATGCAAAAAAGAGAAAACACAATAAACAAAAAAAAGACACCGATGACATTGCAGCTGTATAATAATAATAATAGATTGGCGCGTACACATATCGAGCCCTAACCGCCAAAATAACGTAAGCGACATTTTTTTCAAAATTTTCTTTTTGATGCAGAAATGCATCTAGATGCTCTAGGAATATTTCTGCATCAAAAAGAAAATTTTGAAAAAAGTGTCGCTTACGTTATTTTGGCGGTTAAGGCTCGATATGTTGGTGTTTGGCCGAGCCTCTCCTCCGACTTGTGGCGTGCGCCTTGATGTTGTCACACAAATCAGAGGGACCTACAGTTTTACGCCGACTCCGAACGGCGATTGTATTTTTATGAGAAGCTGTTTTTCATGGCAGAAATACACTCGGAGGTCTGCCATTGCCTGCCGAGGAACGACCGCTGTTAAGAAAAGCCCTTTTTTCAAAATTTTTTGCGATGTTGCTTTGACCAGGGCTTAAACCCAGGTGTTGATGAGTGAAAGCGCGCACTGCTTACCACTACACCACAGCGGCCGACTGCTGTATACATTTTAAGTTTATGACGAATTTTAGTAATTATCAGTATTGACAACACTACCACAATAGATGATACCGAAGTAAAGCTTTAACCAAATATGTTATAATAGAAATTTGTGTAAGTAAAAAGTATAATTCATTTGCCACTAATATATTCATATGCACGTCATACATGTATGTTCCGTATGTAATTTTTGTCAAACGTTAGTTAATGCATATTTTTAATTTTTATTTCATGTACTTATTGTTGATACAGTGAAAAAAAAACAACCAGCCCCTTAGGATGCTAATGAGTTTAGCGAAACGTTGGGCAACAATAGTGGAATAACTTTGTTTTATTTGCACTAAAGGATGCCTATTAAAATTTAAAAAACGACAAATAAAATATTTAAAAAATAGTTGCCCATATTGCAATAAATTCGCTGTACCTAGACTTTATTGGCTGACCGTAGTTGATCCAGATGTCTACCATAAATATAGGTAACTAGGGATGGGTAGTGGGCGGGTTGAAATTCGATTTTTTCCGAATTTCGAACATTGCCCAACCATTCGATTATTCGATTCGAAATTTTGTGGTGCAAATTCGATTTAATTCGAATTTTATCGAATTTTCCAAAATTTTTTTTATTGAAACTTCTTAATCGAGTTCGGAGATGTTTGCGTTAAATATTTAACACCAAGTCATAAAATCTGTATCGTTCGTTCAATTTAAAAATTGAGGTGTCAAATTCAAATAATCGCTTCCGCAGATGTTTGCGTTAAATATTTAGCACCAAGTCACAAAATCTGTATCGTTTGTTCGATTTTCAAAAAGGAGGTAGGTGTCAAATGAAAGGGCTGGCCCTGTAGATGTGTAATATGGTTTTAGTTTTGTGCCATATGTAAGAAAATCAAAATCAAATTATTTAATTAGTTAAATAAATTACCCCAATATGGGTATCAATCGAAATGGTTTTGAATAAACTTTATTTTTTAATTACATTTAGGAGGGGTGCCACCTGTTTGAAAAGTCGAATATAGTTAAAAAGTGTTGTGCTTAAAATACTATGAAACAATTAAAATATTTTTGAGGTGCTTGAAGAGAGTGGCCACCTGTCTAAAAAGTTAAACTCAAATTACACTGTGGGACAGCCGAAACCAGCCCGGACTTTTTAAACATTTTCTGAAAGTATACCCATCCAGTAATAAAACACTCGGTGGATTTGCAAAAGTTAGCTCGTATTTTTATTTCATGGCCTACTAAAGTTTTCATGTCTCGGCCTAAGTAGTTTTCAAAAAGTCAAAAAAGAAGTTAAAATAAATGTCTGAGCGAAATCAAAGGTTAAGACATATGTATATAATAAAATTTCATGGGAAATATTTTTGTAGAACATTTCAACCCATTAGTTCGCGCTTTAAAGGGCCATTTTGACCCTTACTTCAAGAAATCCCGCAAAAAGCAAATTTGGAAGGTCGTTAGAGGATTGATATATTCTAGAAAATTATTCTTCAGAAAATTATCCTCAGGCAAAAGCTTCATGCCACCAACGTAAAAGCCTCTAAACATTTAAAATAAAAAGTCAACGAAAAAACTAGGTTTCTACACAAAATTGTTTAAATTTGAGTTTGGAATAACAGTTCCTTCTAGGCACAGGTTTTTTGTCCCGATGTATCAGTTCAAAAAACATGTATTTTTTTACTGCATCCCTAAGTCAAATGGAGTGCCACACACAGTGATGGCAAATTTAGTCAGAAAGAAGAAACTTAAAGAGTTGATTTTTTGGAAATAAAAATTAAATTAGATTTTTTCTATAAAAATTCTATTTTACCCGAATTTTAGCAACACAAAGTTCGATTTAAAAAATTCGCCATTTTATTCGAAGCTTCGATATTCGAATTTTCCCATCCCCATGGCAAACCCGCCTTGGCGAAATCTCTGATTTAAAGTAAAAAGCGTATAGTTTTGGTAAACAAATAAAATCTTTTAACTTTGGGAAAAATTAATATTCTTTGCGCATTAAGTTGGCAAATTTTTCGCTCATTTCGACCGAAGATATTTGATAATTCCAGCGGTAAAACGTTGTTATTCATACCGTGCGAACAACAAAATCGGTTATCCAGGAACAAAATATCTTCTTTTAGAGTAACTAGCTTCAAATATGGGCTTAAATACCATTGGGGATTTATAACATCTACTTCTCAACCAGATTTTTACTTATTCAAAACAGAATGATAACGTGTTGAAACTTAAATAAACCAAACTTCACAAATAGGAGGAAATAATATAAATTTACTACAAAATTTCGGTAAAATATATGCCGCAACGCGTAAAACAAAAAAAATTGTGCAATAATCGGTAACCTAAAACTTGATTCTTTGCACATATAAATATTTTCTACGAAAATTTCAACATGACAGTAAAATTAAATTATCTTGTTATAAATTAATGCATATTTATAAAGCTTCCCTGCTTCCCAAACTAGTCAGCAAAAATACAAGTTTACAACTAGAAGTTCCTGACAGAGCCGAGCTAGTTCAAAAATGACCAGTCTTGTACCAAGTACAAAAGGATTTATTCATGCCCTGTTTTATTTGACTTCGACAGTTTAATACAATAAAGAAAACAAAATATTATAACTTTTATTTGGGTATATTGTAAACCATTAAATGGAGTACGTACTCAATTATACCAGACCTGTTATATAATAGGGGTCTTCCCTTAAACTCGTAAAAGCCTCGTAAAGCTCGTAAATTTCCGAGCCTCGTAAAATAACTATCAGAATTTTTATGGAGCTCTATTTACGAGCCCCTCGTAAAATTACGAGGAAAATTTGATGCGAAAATGGCCTCGTAAACTTCAGTATTGCCGAGGAGCGGAATATTATATACTAAAATGTATTTTATTATAATGAAAACAAATGAAAAATAATATTGAATAAAAATAATGAATTTCATCCACTAACAGTACTAATATGAGTTTTCTGCTAATTTTCAGCATTTTTAATTTTATTTTAGCCAATAGTGATAGGGACAAGATGGCGGGATGTTATGGAAAATACTACGAAAAAAAAATTGCTTCACAAAATCCTGGTTTATCTCTTAAACAGTCAGTTTACGCACCTTTTCACAAAGGGGGCGTCCCCATAAAAGCCTAGTAAACTTACGAGTTTTACACAGTTTAAGACTTTACGAGTTTAAGAGAATCCCCTAAATGATTAATATTCATAATGATTATTAATTAAAGCATGTTTTTTTGGATGACCGTTTAATGATTAAATACTGATATTACCACCTGATTAATAATTAATTACTTAAAAAAAAATTTATTAATTCATTAATTTTAATTGCGTCATTATTTTTTTATTTTTATCATTTTCAATTATTTTTGACTTTATTTTATTTTTGATTTTATATTATTATTATTATTTTTGACTTCATTTTATTTTTGATTTTATATTATTCATGAATTAGTTTTATTTTTTCACTCCCAAAGTAGTGGTTTTGGTCCATAATTGGACTAGTATTTTTCTGTCTATTCTCAACTAGTATGAGACTGGTATATTTCTGAACGAAATCTGACAATTGCCATCTGGTAGGACATCCCCATGTTAAAAATACCAGTTGATTGCATGGAAAAAAGATAGTTGGGCATGCGGTTCATACTAGTTGTGAGGTAGTTTACAAGTAGTTCATTTGACTACAGGGTTTTTATATTCTTTTGATAGAGTTAATGAATACAATTATTATCAAGAAACATCAAAGATCTAGTGATGGGTTTTCATTTAACTAATTGAAGTTGAAGTATTGCACATATAATTCCTTTACTGGGGTATTTGCTGTCCACGTATTCAATGTAGCAAACTATGTTGCAGCCAAAGAAAAGCAAGGCCAAGACGACGCGAAAGCTGTATCTGGCAGTCTTTAACTTCTTGAAACTTGCACCATATTTCTAGAATTTTATAGACACGCAACTGCGTACATGGAATTATTTTGAAAATTATAAATAAAAAGATGGTTGTTGTAAAAATTTTTTTAATTTCTCTACAAAGCTTGAAATGTGGATATATGGTGGTAAGTATTATATAATTAACTAGACTTTAATGAAAAATTAATAAACATTAAACGAACGAATGAAAAGTAGTCTAAACTGGTCAAAATGTCGTATCCAGGGTTGCCACTTTGGTAAATTATTACCAAAATTGGTAGAAAAAAATTGGATTGGTAAAAAGGCAAATTTTTGTTCATTTTGGTAGATTTTTGTTAAAGTATTTTGTTTGAAAAACAAATAAAACTTTCCTTCCCGCTTTATTTTTCGTGGTTATCTTTTTATTATAAATGTCTTTCTACATTGTTTGTTATACTAAATTTCCATCGACTATAAAACTGCATTCCAAAAAATTCAGATTAAAAACTCGAAATTTAGACGAAAATTTTTGTAATTTTTCTTTATATAGCTTGAATCCTTGATTTTTATTGAATATTTTGAATAAATTAGCTTTAATATTTACTGATTTTTCGAAGATTTCGTTTTTCTCTTAATTACCGTTATATGGGATGTGGGCGAGGTTATTGCCC